TAGAATAAATACACGAAACTTCTCCTATCAATCTCAACCCAATAAAACATTATAACAAATTTCATCTGAGTGTAAGCATATTACCTATACAAATAATCTGAATAAATCACATAAATTCTAAGTCTGATATATCAATTATTTCACTTAGCATTTTTTGAACAACATACCAAACAACAAATAATCACACGATCGTAATAAAAAGTGAAAATGTAAGTCAATCAGAAACCTCACAAACAAAGTATAACATCCTATAGTGACACCTTGACAAAAAGATTCACACGATGTCTTTAAAGTGCATAAAGTCACAATTCACATCATAGATCGAATCAAACAATGATAATCACAGTCTGTATATTATGTAAATGATAATGCACCCATACACCTTACACACCGTCCGAAACGTATGTTCCATACAACCACTAACTACAACACACCATCCGAAGTAGGGTCTGCCACAAAGACAAAAGGCCACTTAATTCGAAGTGACATTCAACACATCAAGTGAATACACTAAACTTCCCCTATCAATCCAAACCCAATATAACATGATAAAATATTTCATTCGAATTTTGATCTACTCCGAATGCAAAATATTACATATACAAATAATCTAAATGCATCGCATAAATTCTAAATCTGATATATCAACATATTTCACATAACACTTTTCAAACAACAAATAATAATAATAATAATAATCTAAAACAAGCAATAATAATCATTGTTCGAATGTTATGCAAATAATCATCCACCCTTACACCTTACAAATCATCCAAATTTGGGTCTGCCACAAAGGCAGAGGCCACTGAATCCAAAGTGACATCCTTATATAACTTGACAACATATATCATCAGAATTCTAATTTTATCCGAATGAATAAATATTACATATATAAATAATCCAAATGCATTGCCTAATTTCTAAGTTCGATATATCAACATTTCACAAGACATTTTCCAAACAAAATACCATACAATCAATAATCTCAAAACAACTATGGTCACAATAAAACAAAGAAAATGTCAATCAATCAGATAACTAACAAAAAAAATATTGCACCGTACAGAGAGTTCACTGCTCAAGACAAGTTGATCGCGTACGGATTGGAGCTCCTAAGATGCAAAAGGAATTTAGTAAGTAAATTTTCTAAGCTACTTTTCCAAACTTATACAATTAAAACAGTCGAAGAACTATGTGGCCTATCATAATACATCTAAAAAAGCTATACCTTGTGCATGTCTGCTTTAAGCCTATGCTACATATGCTAGTTTTTGCTTTAATTGGACATACAACAATTTCTCATTGTGGAGGGGTGATTCTAGTTCTGCTTTCTCTGCCTTGAGCATTGTTAGAGTGTGCTCGCCAGTCTCCTCACCTTTGGATTTCTAGAGTGCGTTTTAATTAATATTATAATAATTTAAATTTAATTTAAGAATTTATTAATATAATTTTAAATTTATAATTTAAATAATATTATTATATGGGGCAAAATCTAATTACACTATGTAAAAATCTTTTAGTTTTACACCATTTTAGGACCATTGGATGAAAGAAATTAAAGAATGAGATTAACCGTGGAAAATGAACAGATATTCACTAAAAAACGAGTTAGTCTCAACCTTTGATTTCTCTAAATCCAATGGCACTAAAAAGTGTAAAACTAAAAGAGTTTTGCGTAGTGTAAATGGATTCTAATCCTTAATATATTCATAATTATATAAATTAATTAATTTATGAATAAATATATAAAAATATTTTAAATAATATTAGAAAAATTTAATTTAATAATATATTAACATAATTTCAATTAATATAATCTTATGAATAAATTATATAAAAATATTTTAAATAATATTAGAAAAATTTCATTTAAGAATATATTAACATAATTTCAATTAATATAATCTTATGATATTTTATAATTTATAATTTATAAATAATTTAATTTTAAAATAAATTAATAAAACTATACCTCGTACAGGTTTTTGTTTTAAGCCTTTGCATATGCTAGTTCTTGCTTTAACTGGGCAGACAACAATTTCTCATTGTGGAATGGTGATTCTAATTCTTTATTCTCTTCCTTGAACATTGCTAGAGTGTGCTCGTAATGTCTCCTCACCTCAGGATTTCTGCATACACTCTAAACTTTAAGTGAAATAAATAAACCTAACGATACAGAAAATGAGAATGAACCCATTAAATCTTCAATGTCATATATATAAAATAAAAGCATTCAAGACATACACAGAGTATGTGTTTTGTATCAGAAGATTTCAAGTTCAGCCACATGGATTTATCTTGAAAATTGCAAAACCAGGAGAATAAAAATGTGACAAACAACAAGCAACCTATCACTAAGGCCTTGCTAAGCATCCAACCTAAAAATCACTTAGAAATAGGCAAAGAAATCCCAACCTAAAAGAAGAGATGCAATAAACATCAAAACTACATTTACAATGTACCATTTTTCATTGGAGCAGACACAATAGTTCTCAATCTGAAACTACTTAGCATGCAACAAACTTCCCAAAGTTTAACAAATATGATGCCTTAAATTAACAATTCGTTAGCATCAAAAAACTTATGTTCATAAACATACATTTTATTCCATGCATAAACATGATGTGCCTAATTTCACACATACGATTATCACAACCCAAATCATCCACCCTCAACTTACATAATAACTTTTTCTAATTATTCACCCAAAACCCAGTAGGTTAACATTAAATACGCATCCATGGAATTAATTTCATAGAAAGTTTAAATTACAGAGAAAACTATGCAAAACCTAAGATCCTGACAACAAAAAGGTTGTCATATGGCATTTGTTTGTTCCGGGGAAAAATCACCCCTTAAACCACGTATATGATTTATATATTTAACTCTTTTGGCAAGAAAGTCAATGGTAGTCTATTTAATTAAAAATATATATGTAAAACACATAATAAACTCGAGCATCCAATCTTTATTTATATAAGGATAAATTTTGTGGAATTAAAGAGATAAAAAGACAATGAGTGAATATTACCTTTGCTACATCTTTCAACACCGAAAAGGCTGCATCTCTGACATGGGATCCAACCATTAAGACACTACAATTCAAATTCACAACATTCCAATAGTAATAGCATTTAAATAATAATAGGATAAAAAACAGAGCATCTCCTCCTATATGATTTTATGAAGACAAAGTAAAATGTTTCAGACCATTACTAGATGATGACCATCACAGAGTTCAGTTGCCATTAAAAGGAAGGAAGATTCATATATTATTTATACAAAATTGTTTTGGATACTTGAGTAGAAAATTTTACTAAATGCACTTAGCTAGCATTGCCAAAAGCAAGAGAAAACTTACATTAGAAAACCCTTCATCATCAGAATCCTTCATATCACTGAAAGAGGGAAGTTCAAGCGGTGCTATGTACACACATTGATCGCTGTCCGTGAGTTGACTTACCATGAGAAGCTGAGAAAGGTATAGTGTATTTCATTTGTATAACATGACGTACTTCTTGTTCAATCTTAAAAACCTTGATGTTGCCATCAGAATCTCCAACATACCTGCAAATTCAGAGAGAAAAGAATATTTATAGGTAAAGTATAGAGAAGAAAACATAGGCAATACTGATTCTGATGACAGTAAAGTAGATTACTCTCATATCTAATATGATAGAATCAGCAATTAACCAAGCAAGTAACTTGCCTCAATATGGTTCTTGAAATTTACATTGATATATTAAGGATGCCTTGATTCTGGACAAACTGAAGAAAAATTAAGGTTCATATAAGTACCTTGAAATAACTTTAAAAAAAATTTACAAGGAAAAAAGAAATACTGATATAGCATTATTAATGATAGTATCAAGAAATCCAGATTGAGAAATATAGCATCATAAACATGTTAAACTGTCACGTTTCTTTCTCATGTGATAATTAATCAGATTTGACCTGCCTTTAGTTGCATCAAGTCCATATTAATCTGTTCAACAGAGGTAACAAAAGCATACCTTAAATGTTTGATGCAACTCCAATTCAATGTTTGATGATGGCTTGTACATGCAACAAAATTGCCACTTAGATTCCATGGAGTTATCTGCAGCTCCAATTCAATGTTTGATGCAGTAGCAAGAGTTAACTCATAGCACTGGTTAGAGTTGTTAGTTGAGTGATTCCTAAATGTTTAAGTCGGTACATACCAGCTTGCATGCTTTCATAGGCACATACATGTACAAGATTAAGAAAAGAAAAAATCAAGATAGATGAAATATGTTTAAACACATGCATTTCTAACCTCATAGTCTTTATATATTTTCTCTAAATATTACACATATCAAGGATCATGATAGGATAGAAACAAAGCATCTTGTTTTTCATTTCTTTTGTCTAATATATGAAGCAAAAGCATATTCATTTCATATATGCAGAATAAATAAATAAATAAAGGGATAGAAATAAAAAACGGTACTTAATGATCTAGCCCTTTGTATTACCACCCAAGCTTTCCTTCCGAGAATGGTACTCTGGCATGGAATAATATGGTATCTCTTCCTTCATATTGTTGACCATGTGAGAAGCCTATGCGAAAAAAAGAGAGCATAAACAACAAGAAAGCTTGCTGCAAAATATTGAACATGTAAATTCTAGCCAATAATACCTTCACAATAGGAGTTATAAACTTAACCATGAATGATTTTACTTTCAACAGTGATGGTCAAAAGGAGTGAATAAAACTGATCACCAAACCCTTGATATAATTTAAATTAGTATATTCTTATAATATTTTATAATCTATAGTTTAAATATTATTATTATATTTATAAATTATACAAATAAATTAATTTAAGAATAAATTAATAAAATTATACCTTGTACATGTCTGCGTTAAGCCTCTGCATATGCTAGTTCTTGCTTTAGCTGGACAGACAACCATTTCTCATTGTGAAGTGGTGATTCTAGTCCTTCTTTCTCTGCCTTAAGCATTTCTAGAGTGTGCGCGCCAGTCTCCTCACCTTTGGATTTCTACATTAAATCTTCAATGTCAGATATATTATTTCATGCAGCCCTACCCCTGGCAATGCAGAAGGGTAGGGGTGCAAGAAAGAAGTCAATCAAATAATAAAAAAGGGTATTGTTGCTTACTTGAGAACAAGAATTCCATGCCTTAAAGATCTTTCTAGTTAGAACCATTGGCTCAAGTAAGAAAGAAATATCAACTACCGTTGAGCAAAATAGCATCTCCATCTGTAAACAAATCATCCATATTCATAAAAATTGCCACTACTTCATTTGCTTAATTATTTCAAGTTTCAAACAAAAAAGAAAGAGAATTTTTAAGGCTAAACCTGTGTTGTTCCTGGATTCAAGGATAGTTACCTTTGTAGATTTAAACATAAATTGGACAGGACAATTAAGGTAAACCAGTGAACCCTTGGTTAGTCCATGAGAACACCAGATAGTTTCACATGTCTTCCATGGATACACCATTTGTTTCATAGTAAACCCTTGAAGCTGTATCAATATCAGGTAAACAAACCCTTGTATAAAAGTAAAATATCATCCATATTTGAAACGTTTCAAAGATTTTAAGTCAAGAAAAAACCAAAATTAAAAGGAACAAAATATGAGAAATTATGAAGAATAAACCTGAATTGAAAGCCTATTATAAAACATATTCATGCAATAAAAAAATAACTCATCGATTGTCACATTAAAAAAATAATTTTAATAAAAATGGCAGAGTTAACTTAAGAAAGAAAATTGAATCACTAGACCAAAGGCATCAACATGTGAAAACAATGAAAATGGAAGTACATAGAAACTATTTTTACAAACAAATAATACAATGTCCTAAATTTTATTTTTCATATTTTTTCTTACTAAGCAAACACAGAGAAACACAACAAAAGAGAAACCAAACCAGACATAAATGAAAGGGAATTGGTCACATGCAGAACTGAGAAACCTTTGCAAATGAAATAACAGGTTCAAAACAACACTAACATGTAATCAGAAATGAAAACTCAAATGTCAACAATTTATTAGATTTAGGTAAAAAAAAAAAAATCCCTAATCTGTAATCAGAATATAAATCAAATTTTTAAAAACCCAGAAAAAATTCATCACAAAATATAATCTAACAAAGTATAAATTAAAAGAAAAATGTAACAGATACAAGAATTGGGTAAAAGAAACTAACCTGAGAATCTAAAGAATTGATTGATATAATCAATGGGCAAGTTTCTTAAATGGGTGATAAGTAGTGCTCAGTTTTTATTTTTATAGATGAGATTTCATTCGTTGGCTTAGGATAAAAGGGTAATTATACCTAAATTCTTATGATATTTATAATATTATTATATTTATAAACTATATAAACAATATAATTTAGGATTAAATTAATTTAATTTAAAAATATTTAAATAATATTAGAATAATTTAAATTATTTATGTTAAGAACATATTAATATAATTTAAATCTATAATTTAAATATTAATATTATTATATAGGGCAGGATCTAATTATACTGTGTAAAACTCTTTTAGTTTATACCATTTTAAGACCAGTAGATGGGAGAAATTAAAGAGTGAAATTAATTGTGGAAAATGAAAAGATATTCACTAAAAAAACGAATTAATCTCAATCTTTGATTTATCTCAATCCAATGGCTCTAAAAATGTGTAAAACTAAAAGAGTTTTACATAGTATAAATGGATCCTAATCCTTATTATATTTAAAAATTATATAATTTAATTAATTTAATTTAAGAATAAATTATATAAAAATATTTAAATATTATTATAATAATTTAAATCAATTTAATTTAAGAATATATTAATATTATAATTTAAATATTAATATTATTATATGGGGGCAAAATCCAATTATAGTGTGTAAAACTCTTTAATTTTACATCATTTTAGGATCATTGGATGAAAAAATTAAAGACTAAGATTAACCATGGAAAATGAACAGATATTCACTAAAAAACAAATTAATCTCATTCTTTGATTTCTCTCAATCCAATGAGACTAAAAAGATGCAAACCTAAAAGTGTTTTACACAATATAAGTGGATCCTAATCCTTATTATATTTATAAATTAATTAATTTAATTTATGATATTTTAATTTAAATAAATAATATTATAGTAAATGTCGAGGATTTTCCTAATGTGAATGAAAAAGCAAAAATGCATAAGGACAATAAATTGTGACACTTACATTTTCTTCAACTATAGAGCTGAGAAACAGAGAACCAATTTGTCGCTCGATTTACAAAGATTCATTTTCTTCTGCCTATTGACTTCTTCTCTTGTAGGATATTCCTTGTTGTGAACTGGAAAATGTCTACAAATGAAGCAATAACTTAATGAAATTTCCATGAGCATGAAAAGGTGAAGTTTGTAAAGAAACTAGAATAAACTGGATGAAACTTCAACATACCCTCTTAAAACACTTGTTTTTCTACTTCCTTGAGATTCTGACTATTCATTAGGTAACTTAGAAGAAGCATGGAGAGGGCACAACATTACAAAGTTATCCTATTGTGATCCAAAATAAATATATACTCGTTAACAAGGAACATAGTCTTTAACTTCCCAAAAAATCATATGAAGTCCAGAAAACTGCCCAATCTGTATCGCTTACAGTATCCCACCAGCATTGTGAGACTAATTTTGCACAGGGAACATGGAAACTCTTATGACAACTCTTTTCGAAACAGCCAAACACTGCACCTTTGAGTCCGCAACAGGAGCATTTTATTTTTCGACTTCTGGAGTTCATTTTCAAAATAAACATTAGGAGCCCTGAAAAAAAATAACATTATTATATATTAAAATTATCGAAACTGTACCGAAAGAGCATATTCGGTTATGAACACTTTTACCATTCAGTGCAGTTCTTGTGCGAATGTATGACCTTAGAGGCACCATTGTAATCTTGAGGTACAGGTCTGCCTTCATAGTAATTAACCATCTCTCCTGTTGCCTGCAATTTTATATAGCAAATAAACTTCATCAATTTGATTGAAAAGATGGGCAATTTTAGTCATATCATAGACTTGACATGAAATACTAAACCTCAAAGTCTTCTATTGAAAGACTAAAAACATTGTGTTTTATTTGTAATGGTCTCACATTTACACAAGGTCGCTTCATTTGCTAAAGGCAACCTATTTACTGTTGAACCATGACCATATGAAATTCCAACAGTGGGACTCCCATTAACCTTTTCATTTAGTCTTTCTAAAGCTATATTATTATTTCCTTGCTGTTGTTGATCTTCAACCAACACAGTTTTTGTCTCACCGCTAAAAGAAACTTTCATCTTTTCTTACAATTTGAGGTTTTTTCACTTTTCAAACTTGTAGTCAACTTTACTGCCCAAGCACATTTAATTGATCCTTTTCTAACCTGTTTTGCACCACTTTCATGAGCCAAGGGAGTGGAGTGGGAAATGAGGACTTCTGTTTAATCATATTTTCATTTGTCGGACTTCATTAGATAAAAGAACCTACTACTGCCAGTGCAAAGATAGATAAAAAAGCTCATTAACTATTAACATCATATCAAAAGACAAATGATGAAGGCTTAATTAGATAACTCAAACCTGCCACTTGGGATTACTAAAGCATACGGAACGATCTTCTCAAACTTTGAGCAGCTATTTTTCTTCCATTATGTGTTACAAAGCATTTTTCAGTGTTTAAACCGTCGAGTTGCATTGCTTTCTAAAATTTCCCACAAAATCATAAAACCATCTCTAAATATTACAAGTAAGAGTCAAGGGTACTTGAAAAACGGCATCTCCTTGGAACTTAAATTATAAACAAAAATTAACAGAATGAGAAAGTAAGAGTACCTTTTACTTTCAGTTGTTGGCTGAGGAAGTATGGACATAACAGCCCTATCAGCTAAAACTTCAATTGGATATCCTAAACAAGATGGTCAATCCACTTTGATATATCAATAAAGTAAGACATGGTACCACAAAGTAAACTTCAAGAATTCTCAGAATGACAGCAACAGAACTAACACATGAACAATATACCCTGTAATCAGGGATAGTATTAAGGTCATAGAGCTTTCTGTTTTTCAAATAAACGGTCAACTCTGAAGTTTGGCATTGTAGGTTTCAAAGGAGCCATTAGGAAACTCCAAATGAATCATGTAGCATCCTTTATTCATTTAAGAGGATTTTGTAGTCAAGGAGAGCATAATGATGTCACTGTCATCAAGCCTAGACTAGAGAGTAAACAAGAATGTCCCAAAGGTGTAAGGCTTGAGCCTTGTCAAGTTTATTTGTTAAAAGATTACGATGCACGATAATGCTTAACACACTTCAAATCTTAAGTTGAAATATACGTCTACTTACCATGAGAAGCTGAGAAAGGTATAGTGTATCTCATTTGTATAACATGACGTATTTCTTGTTAAATCTTAAAACCCTTGATGTTGCCATCAGAATCTCCAACATACCTGCAAATTTAGAAATTAAATCGATATAAAAAATTCAATTGGCGCATGTACTCTCTTGAAAGTTGAAATAACCTACAGTAGAGCAAAGAACCGAAGCTAGACTTGCATGTCGGGACTAGTTTGCATAACTGCAAAAGAAGTAATTTCTTCTTTAAAGACATATACATGAGACAAGAGCCTCTTTTCCGAGTCCCAAACCTACTTTACAATTTCCATAAAAAATTAATTCCCATATGAAAGAGAGAAAAATAAGACATATTTATAGGTAAAGTATAGAGCAAGAAGACATATTTGTTTGTAAAAGTAGACATATATATAGAAACTACTTTTACAAACAAATAATATAAAAATACAATGTCCTAAATTTTATTTCTAATAATTTTTCTTAGAAAGCAAAGACATAGAAAAACATAAAAAGAGAAACCAAACCAGGCATACATGAAAATGAATTGGTCACATGTAGAACCGACAAACCTTTACAAATAAAACAACACTAACATGTAATCAGAAAAGAAAACCCAAAATGTCAACAGTTTATTAGATTTAGGTAAAAAACAAAATCCCAAATATATAATCAGAAATTAAATCAAATTTAAAAAAAACCTAAAAAATCAAGAAACATGGCCGCATCTACATTCATCACAATGTATTTGGGATTTTGCTAAAACCAAACTTAACCCCCGTACAATAGATAATACCAAAAAAAACAAGAAAAAAGCAAAACCAAACCAAAACTCCCTATCGTAGCCAATTTTAGACTTTGCCAAAATGTCTGCCTCTAAGTTTGCTAGCCTAGCTATCCAACGAATAACGCCCTCCAAGTTCCTTATCTTATCTGCAATTTCTTAATCCACTCCACAGACAACTTACTATCACTCTCAATAATCAACCGTCCCTTAGAGCACCAGCTAGAAGATTCAAAGAAAATTAAACCATGTTTAATGGCCTTAAATTCCATTAAAGAAGGACCCAGACCAGCAGCTTCTTGAAAAGATCCTAACACTGTGCAACACTCGTCTCTTAAAATCCTGCCTAAATCACAAGCCTTCCAATCAACATTAATAGCAGCATCCACGTTCAGCTTTAGAAATCCCGTAGGGGGATGGGACCAAAAAATTTG